GTGCAGGAGAGCTCAAAGGGCTCTTGGGCTGCTCGCTATTTATAGGGGTAAGATGATTGACTCGTAGTCATATTTGCATACTGATAACTGTGGTTAGGTGGGCGTATTTCTCACAATAACCAAGGGCTATTGTGTTGTTATCTGGCTCCCAAATCAGCTTCATTAATGGACGAAGCTATCACTATCAGCATCCATTAACGACTGCCCCTGGTAGTTATCCCTTGAGCAGGGTTACAGGAGATAAAGGTCAGGTTGGGCGGGGGAGCACACCGTCACAGGGGTCCTTCAGGAATCACAGGTCTAGCCACCCAAGGGTGTCCCCAGGAATCCCAGAAACCTACATTTGGGCACAGAGTTGGACCTACCTTCAGCTGTGTTAACCAGACCATATGTCCCTCCTTCCTGTGGCTCTGCTCAGCTCATGGTGACCCGGACCAAAGTCCTCAGCTCCCTAGAGGACACGGCCACACAGGGGACATGGAAGGGAGAAGGGCACATGTGTACAGGGTATCTCACAGGGGAACCAGCACTACAGTCCGTTTCAGTCTGATCCTCACTGCTCTCAAGAGAGTGGACATGGGGGCCCTTTAAGGGATGGTTCCTTTAGAAGCATCTCCTTTTGCCTTTGCTAGCACCACAATGGGTGAAAAGTGGAGATGCTGCTTTTCCTGCCGGTTACTTCCTGGGGTGTATAAAGCAGCTTTGTTCACACGGGTGCCAAATCTCCTCTGGTGTGAATGGTTCTCAAATCACTTTGTATTCCACTTGGGCTCTTCCCCATCCCCATGGGGTCTCTCCAGATACCAACTGTGTCTTCCCTCTTCCTCCACAGGATAGGCCGTCGGCCAATCTTTCTGAGCTCCATCCTCCTCCAGGGCTTGTTTGGTGTAGGAATTGCCTTTGTGCCCCATTTCTATGTGTACATGGCCTTCAGATGTGTCGTGGGGGCTTCGGTGTCAGGAATCCTGATTACTACCTTGGCCTTGGGTGAGTAGGATGCCCTTGCCCTGAGGCAGACAGATATGGCATTACAAGATGCAATAGCAAAAGATAGTCCTGCAGGTATTGAAAAGGGTGACCCTGAACCTTCATTCTTCTCAGCTACCGAATGGGTTGGTGTCTCCTCCCGGCCAAAGGCAGTGCTTATTTCCCACTGCTTTGTCGCCATCGGACAGATGCTTTTGGCTGGCTTGAGTTACGGTATTCGCAACTGGAGGCTGCTGGAAATTGCAGGATCTGCTCCAATGTTTTCCTTTTTCTTCTACATCTGGTAAGCAGGAGCAGGGCAGAACTTCTTGAAGACATGACAGCAGCAAGTGTGAGGGGTGGCAGTGAGGAAGCAGCAGCTCAGGAGCAGGCTGGGTCTTTCCCATTATTGTACAGGTGCTGGAAGGGCTTCTGCAGAGCTCAGCACATCTCACTGGGGCACTGGACCCCTGAGAGCAGCAGCTGCTTTGCTTCAGGTCCTCAAATGTGGCCTTTGGGGCCTAAATGTAGGCCTGGAAAACCTGACCTGGGGAGGTATTTAGACCCCCTCCATCACGTGTGATGCCCATTGCTTGCTGGACGTGGTTGCAGGGAGATGGGCCGTGGGAAAACTCAGCAGGGCGCAGCAGCATCTCCTGATTTCATCTCCTTGGCAGGGTGCTACCAGAATCAGCTCGGTGGCTGGTGACAAAAGGCAGAATAGAAGAAGCTAGGAAGGTCCTTCAGAAGGCAGCATCCATCAACAAGCGCACCATCCCACCAGGACTCCTTGAGCAGGTACCTGTAATGGCATGCAGAACTGCTAGTTGTCTTCAGAGACTTTCCTCTGCGCTTGCGTTTGTAGCAGCCACTGGAGCTGAGGTCATCTGATAAAACAACTTTCCGTGCCTGCTGGGGATGATTTGGGGGTGGGCTGTGGGTGACTCCAGCTTCAGCTGCGTTGTACAGAGGCACGGTCAAGGAAGAGGCACAGCTTCTGCTGAGGCTCAGTCTGGGCCTTTCTGGAGTCCACCTCGGGATATGGAAAGGACCCAAATGCTTCCCTGGCTTTTCTTCTGAGAGGATTGCAGGAGTCTAGAGGATGAGCACGAGGTCTCTGTTTAGTCTGTGGTTTTCCATGCATAAATGCCTGAAGCGGGGTTACCTCCTTGCCCACCCCAAAGTCCCTACACTGGGGAAACCTAGGAACCTCTTAGGCACCAAACTAGTGTGTTGGGCACCCAGAGCACAGGCACGGGAGCCCAGCCCCGCTGGGCTGCCGTCCCTCCCAGAGCAGTTTGGGCTCACAAGCCTGTTCCACTGAGGCTTTCCTTTGACTGCAGATGGAAAAGGAGCTAGCCAGGGGTTTCCTTTGCCTGCTTTGACTCTTTGGCTTTCTGCATTTTGAAGTTGAAGCCTGAGACGCAGACCAAGTCTGGAAGTACTCTGGATCTCTTTCGGAAGAAGCACCTCCAGAAGGTGACTTTAATCATGTCGTGCGCCTGGTAAGACATCCCCTGGTCCCCTCTTTCCAAAATTCTAGGTGAAGAAAAGAATATATTGAGGGTTGACAAGAACTGTAAATTCACTTTATGTGATTTTTGGGGTCATGTTTATGTCTATGTTTTCATCTGATATCTTTCTGTCTCCCCATACTGGACCAGATCTACCTTGTCTGGGCATTGGGAGAAGCTGATTATTCAAGTTGTTATGGGTTTTGTGAGAAAGGCTGGAGTAATTCCACCTTTTGGCAATCCCTGGGCTTTGGGGCAGTTTTGTGCCCCCCTAGAACTTCTGGGTGCAGTCTAAAAGTTGCTGAACATATGGGGATCCATACTGCTTTATCTCATGTAACTACGTCCCAAAACAGAGATTGCTGAGAGTTTAAATAAGTTGTGTGTGGTCTAACCCTAATTTTTGAGGATAAACTCCTGGAAAACCCATCTGGTTGCATGTTCTATTCCACTTTACTTGAATTTCAGGTTTGCAGACAGCCTTGTCTACTATGGGCTGAGTCTGAACGTGACAAGTTTTGGTCTGGACATCTACCTGACGCAGCTTGCTTTTGGGGCAGTGGAGTTACCAGCTCGATTTTGCTGCATTTTCCTGCTGCAGTGGTTTGGGAGGAAGAAAACCCAGGCCGTTCTCCTGCTGCTGTCTGGCCTGATGTGTCTCGTCATCACTGGCATCCCTGAAGGTGAACAACCTCTTCCCAACCCAAGAACACAGCCGGGCAGAGCCCCTGCCAGATCTATTCTGGTTCAGACCCATCCTCCCAGCCCGGCTGGCCGCAGACCCACACTCGCTCCCAGGGGCTAGGATGCCTCGAGTGCCACAGCCTGAGGGCTTGCGCTCCCAACGTGCTGGCTTCCTCTCTGCATGACTTTGTTTTCCTTCAGAGCTGTGCCTGGTCCTTCCACAGCTCCTGGCCCTTGGCAGGCAGTGTCTATTACACACCACCACCCACTAGATGCCACCACCTCCACCTACTATACACCACCACCTCCTCTCAGAAAGGTGTAGCAGAAGAGGCGTTTTAAAAGCCACCGTGTCTCCCTTCTTTAGGTGAACAGGAAAAGCAAATATCCCCCCCTTATCTGTTTCTGCCTACATATTGCCGCAGTCCGTACCCTCACCCCTGCTGCTGTGCTAGTGCTGTGAGTAAGGCTGAAGGAAAGAGAGGTGCTGCACGATGCTTTCAAGCTCATGGACATGATATTTCCAACCAAGCACTCCCTGAAGACATGTGGTGGCTCAGTGACTCACTCCAGGTGCAGATTTAGGAAATGCCCAAGGCCTCAGGAGAATTCTGGGTTCTCTTTGTCAGTTGTCCAGAGGGTATTTTCCAGGAAAGTGTGCACTAGGAATGATTTCCAGTGGGTTAGGCAGTAGATTTGCTTGGTAAGTCCATTAGAAAGGGCTGTCCCAAGAAATCCCACTGCAGAGACCTTCGGTCCCAACTGAACCTTCTCCACGGAGGTGACAGCGGCAATCTCTCTTCCTCCCCTTAGACCAGCCCGTGGCAACCACTGTCCTGGCCATCATTGGCAAGTTTACGGCCACGGCCTCCTTCTCCACCTCCTACGTCTACTCTGCAGAGCTCTTCCCTACAGTCGTCAGGTGAGGTGTCCCCATGCATCAGAGCTTCCCTCTACCGTGGCTGGTAGCAGTGGTGGGGCAAGAGCCCATTTGTCCCCATGGCTGCACTCGGTCCCACAGCAGCCCAGGGGATGCTGAGCCCTGCCCGCACCTCCCACTGCCCCTTGCTTCCCCAGGCAGACCGGTGTGGGGCTGTGCTCAATGTCGGCGCGAGTGGCGGGGATCATAGCCCCGCTGATCCACCTCCTGGGCCAGTACCACCGGGCCATCCCCATGGCCATCTTCGGGAGTGCCCCCGTGGTGGGAGGGCTGCTCTGCGTCCTGCTGCCCGAGACCCGCGGCACCGACCTGGCGGACAACACGGGGGCAGCCGCCCCCCAGCTAAGGTGGGTGCCTGGAGCTCTGAACTTAAGGCAAAAAAAATCTAAAGGTGCAAATTCAAGGCAAAGAAACCAGGATGGAAACAGTATTACCTCTTCCTCTTTCTTTCTTGTCTTCAGCAGCAGAAGACTGGAAATTTTGTCCAAGAGAGACACCACAGAGGATGAAGTAGACCTGGAGAAGGATGTCTACAGATGCTCGGAGAGCAAGTGATGACAGGCATATACTAAAGGTCTAGTCTGATCCAACCTTTCTTGAAGCAGACCAATGAGGCATTGCTGTCTGGAAACTGGTCTTTCAGATGATTGACAAAATATTTGTGGTCAGAAGGAGAGGAGATCTGTGTCACTCTGCATTTGGAAAAGATGCACTTCGAACTGTTCCTGAAACCCAGTCTGTTATGCCTGGCTGCGCGAGTCCTCCCGACGTGTTTCCCAGTCCTTTGCAAACTGGTACCCGTGGAACCATCCCTGTCGTGTTTTACAGCAATAAAGAATCGCCAGTAGAGTGGTAGGACTGGGGAAGCGGGCGGC